TCAGTGTTCGCCACCTTGTGGATGAGACAAGAAGACTAGTTTGATTCTTTGATGTGAATCTTGCGGTCACTTAACAGCTATGCAGTCGGGCGTCGCTCCTCTGTGAACTTCAAAGGACAGGTATCAGCCGAGTGATTGATCAGGTTTCTTTACCCGAGACCAATCTAATGACTGGAGTGCCTTTAATTTTGCTATGACATATTACAGGGGTACAGAGAGCCGAACGTAACGCCTGAATATCGAGGATTTAGTAGTATAAAGGACTCCACAACATTAGCAGGTAAAGTTTTGGATAACAAGTAACAATTGATTTATCAGCACTGATTATCACAATTATTTTTTCAAATTGTACCAATACAGAGACCGTAGAAAATCTAAATGTCTGTTTTCGTAATCCACATTTGTTTGAAAATCCACTATATTTACAAAACAAAAAACAAAAGATTAAAATAATAAATAATAAATTTACTAATAGCTTCATACATAGGTTTGCAAGGAATACCTTACTTGTGTTTGTTAGCAAGAAATGTTGTATTTCTTGCATAGTTATTGCTTAATTGTTCATCTAAATTATGTACTTTGTATGTATTGACAAACACATAAGTACTATATTGAATAAACTTGAAACATGTAGCCGAATTGTCTGCTTCTGATAAGTTTAACGCCAATTTACCACAATAACCAACGCAGTATCGTCAGAAAGATGTCTGCCAACGACTCAAAAAGGTCTAATACTGGTTTTCCTTTCTCGTCTGCTTTGCTTAGAGCTATTCCCATCAGCATACATGTCATAATGATACCTGAAGTAGGAAGTTATGTAACAACGAATCATATTTAATTTCACAATTTTACAGCAAAGTATACGTAAGCAATATCAAAAATTCATTGTCTTAAAATTGGAAAAAGAAAACAATAGACCAAAAGCCACCAAAGAGAACATTCGTAAACAAATATATTGATAGCTCAAGATAATGCATGGAATTGGAAAATACGTAATGAGAAGTACCAAATGAAGTAAGCAAATCATGTCTAATACTAAAGTAAATGAAAGAAATATAAACGGCAGAACTGTGATGATTTGTTTGACAAAGTGTTTATATTCTCAAAAGCGTCTGATCATATTTCGTTTGTGGACCGTAGTATAATTATGACGTCTGGAATTACAAAATGGTGAGCACCCTGTCTCCATATCAACTACGACCTTCCGATGTTCACGATAATTTTATATTCATATTCAGTTAACTTGCACAAATAATATTTGGGCTGGGTATTGGTTTGCTTAAATTTCAGTACCGAATTTATGTTATGCCACCATTTATAATAGGTCATACTAGACTTTTTTTGTATGAAAGGCCAATACGTACCGAGTAAGTTAGTGCCTGACGTTTTGCCGACGGTTTTGTTCAGTTTTTTAACAGTCTCCTTAACAGTGCCGTTAGTAGTATTCTTTATTAAGGTTTCATACGTGACTTCATTTTGAGTAATTGTTTGTTGGAACGTCATATCCACAATATTGTCTGGCATTATATTTCTGAAATAAAGAAAAAGACAAAAAATGTTAAACAAAGTGACGACTGTCGAAGACTGACTTTAAGGATCTCTTCCCCACTGCGCTGTGTTGTCTACCATAACCTCCCCTTAATTACTAAAGTACAGCTGGCCCAGGACACTTCCCGTTGAAGAGGTAGCTCAGTCGGTTAGAGCAATAGTACAACGACGTAAAGTCAAGGGTTTGGTCCTGCCCCGCTGTATTTTTACACCAAGAGACGTTGTTGTTTATAATATTTTGTTTGTTTATTTCATCTTCATTTTATCATAAAAGTTTCCGAAAGATAATCTGGTTTCCCTTCCATAAATGATTCATCAGCGCTATAGTTATGTTGGTAAAAAACGTTTTTCAATGTTTATTTACAGTGTTTGAAGTGGTACGAGGATCCTTAATGCTTTAATTAATAAGAGTATATCGATTATACGAAACGTAAACAAAGGTGCATCGTATAGTATACACAACAAAAACAGACAATCTAACAGCGATATATACACTTAATTTTGGTTGATTGAAATAATAAAAATGTTTGTTCTATTTGCAATAAATCGTGGAAATTAAAAAAACGTAACTTTTCATCCGTGAAAAGAAATCCCGAGCTGACGACGTACATGCATGCATAATATGAAACAAAACGTGAAATATACATATTTTAGTACCACTTTCTTTATATATTGCAAATACAAATGTCATAAAGGCAGATGTTCAAAGTTTACCGAAGTAAATCTGCAAAAACATCCGATGTTTCCACAACAGCAGTAGATTTCGTTTCTGTTGTCACAAAAGTCACTCCAACACCTTGGTAGAAAAATCATAATAAAATATGACAACATCCTGGTTATTAAAGTTTACAGGATCAACATATACATGTATATATCAATGCAAGCCACTCAACAAGTGGCTTATATACGTTGTAACGCATAGATTATACATTAATAGTCGAAGATTTCTGTACTTCACCTTTCCATCAAACTGAAGTAATGAGGTACGCCCCCTAACTTTACCAGATACAGAGTATATCACCTCTAAACATATGAATGTATTTATGATATGTTATAGATGAATACCGAATAAATGTCCACATGTACCATCTTTCATTATTTTACAGTTATCTATGTTTTTCCAGGATCAAAGTCGTTCCGGGATGTTCGTTAGATACCAACAATTAAAGAAAATATCCACGTTTAGGTCCCAGAATAAATAAAGAAGCTTTAGACTAAAGTCATGATATATTGCTTTCGTACACAGATCTTTAAAAACATCTTTCACCTGTTTCGCTTATATACGGTTCAGTTAAATACAATTGATCATGTGGCTGTATTAAATGTTTTTATTTGCGACGATGGTTAGGTAAATCGTGATATCTCTTGCTTCAACGTAAACCCTTCCTGTATGTATTTGTATACATCTATAACTACCAAGAAATTTTGGTAAGTTTGGAACACATAGGGAAAGTATGAAGAGTATGGATATACAAAGAGATTGATGCATATTGCGTACTGTTTGTGTGTCATTTAGCAATTTGTGATAATTCAAAACCAGGTTCTATAAATGCCGTAAGTTATATGATATTAACCAGTGTATGTCCTAATGTAAATAAAAGGCGACTGTAATTTTAACATGTTTTCATATTCAAAAGTTACAAAGTAAAAATTAATGTACCTGGTTTCATTATGAGGGCAAGGACGATGGCGATGACACATGCAAGGACATTTGTTACGGTGATGAAAATAAAAGCCACTAGACTTATCCGGCCATTAGACTTGGCGTCCAGTGAGGCAGTTGCTGTAACGAAGGTTTGAATATATAAACATAAATATATTAAAATATAAACATATACATATTTTTTATATGAAAAAAATATCTTAATATAATAATTTTTTAAATTATATTTTAATTACAGGTATTGGTTTAATATCGAATTTGTAATTCGTGATTGATAGGAAAACCCCCCAATTCTATTTGGTATTTTTAGTATGTCTGCAATCGGCTAACATGATACGAAAACGTACGTTCTTTATGGTGTGAATGTGAGCGATTGATTTGTGCACAATGAGCCAAACCGTCAGGCTTCACCCTAAGATTGACTCTACAAATGTGACGTCAAAACTCAATGATTCGATACCCGTCCACTGGAAAATAAACATGCTATACATCGATAGATTATTCAAACGATTTTCATTGTGAAAGTTCAATCATATTATTTGAATGATATCAAATCTGTAAATGTAAACTGGAATTTAAACGAATGTGCTAATCGTCTCCTGAAAGTATACAGACTGTATATATTTTACAACAGTTATGACACAAGGTACTTATAGTAATCACTCTTGTTGGCTCCGGTAGAAACGCGAATAAGGTATTTATTGTGGGAGGAAGCCAACAAACCGGAGAAGACCCACGTGATCGAGCAGGTGACCACATACATTTGCACGTCCGTTCGAGAAATCAAAGCCTAGCTGTCTTGGAGAAAGACTAGTGCGCTATCCACTCTGTCACACGATCACCAAAAAAGTATTAAAAAAGCAATTGACCGCAGTTGTCAATTTCGATTGTTATTACATGTATACTTTTTTTAACACAGATCGTTATTGCATACATTCTGTTCAATGACAATATCTGCTAACACAGTGTATTTGAATATTTTCCCCGAAATTCGTGCCGCATGAAAAGGCAAAATTTCCTGCCATGCCATATCAATGTCAGTAGCGTTAACTCGTTACTCCCATTTAATATAACTTCAATCTGAGACTTAAGATACACTTAGATGTCAAATTGCTTTTATAACGGAATAAAAATAGTTTTTAAATGCATTGTACAGCATTACTCGGCATTATCCGGGGTAGAACTACTACTTGTGCGATCAAATTGTTACATATGGAACCTTGTACCGCACGACCTGAAAATAGTTTGTTTCACTATAATACAGCTACATGTAAGTAACAGGTACGCAATACAACATACATATGTGATATTGCTTTATTTACAATCGTTCTTCATATGCATATCATATTTACTGCAGAACTTTATTCAGCATTACCCCTTATTCATGTTCAATGTACTTCCTTAAAACTTTAGCCGAACTTAATGGCGGACAAAACCACGCTGATAACGGAATAATGCCATTGGGGAAATACATTACATTATTTTATCACCTTTTGAAATAATGAATTTTTGTTGCATGGCCTGATACTAGTCTGTATCAATAAGGTAAGATTCACCAGGGATGTAAAAAAACTAACCTACCTGCAATTACGCTACTGGCAATGAGAGGTACAATCATCAACTTTAACATCCTTATAAAGAGTTCCCCCGGCATACCTGTAATAGTGAAACACAGGTATTACATATGTTTAACAAGAGTACATAGGATGTCTTCATACCTTGATGCCATTGGCAAAATCAATTAGCAGCTGATATACTCCAAGATCAAGCCATACGCGTTTCAAGTTAGTACATTTATTCACATACATGAATGAAATGCACAGGTAAAGTATACATATATGTATGAAATATTGCGGCTCGCTAATATAACTATTTTAACCCTATTCATGAAGGATATCAGGCGTCATATAATATCCAAAGCCATCATATTTAAAGGAGAATATAAAAGCGTCGATTGACATATATCATACGTGTATCAATTAAATATAAAACTTAACAGGCTTCTCCTCCGTTACTAGAAATTAACTAGTGAGCTATTTTCGTTTAAACCGAGCAGGTGCATAAAAACGTAAATAAACTCACTATTATAAATTCTGTCAAACATGTTTTTGTCCAATATGCCCCGCCTGTTGTGAATCATTATCGCCGTCGACGCTAGAAAACACATCACAATTTATACCTTAGTTGCGCCCCTGAATAGAGCATGGTAACTTACACGTGGATATATATATAAACATACCTATCCACGTCAGAAGCTCGGGAGAGGGGTTCACCTCTCGGATCCCAAATCCTAAAATGAAACCGAAGACGATCCCTACTGAAGTGAGCACTAGCAGGAAGTTTTCGTTGATCCATCGTCTTAGGGGCGAGATCTTCGTTTTGCCAAGCATGCTGTCGTCTGCTTCGTCTACCTCTGCCATTGGAGTCTTACTATGGTAGAGAAAAACCTCAGGTATGATACAATGGTCACGCACTGAATACCAACAAATACATATCGGTTTTCACGGATAGACTTGCATACGTCCCATGTTTTACCCAAGAATGTGACAACACATCATCGTAATTACGTATTACAAATATTACAGCTAAACTGCTTTATTTTAATGTGCGAGTGACGAGATAAAATTATATCTGATTGCTCCTCATATCAGAGTTTGACATTTCAGTTTAATGGACGTTTGATCAGTGTGTCAATTATATATATATTGCCGTTCAATTCCTCTGGAAGAAGTTTCATGTCGGGTTTCTAGCGACTATTTATAAAAGTACTGTACGTTGAAGAAATTCTCTATTGTTCCAACCATGCATTATTCTGGTCAGTAATCATTACTTAAAGTTTTGTAAATTGGATATGCTTCATTTATAAGACTGGAATATGATTTCCGAGTACTTTAAAGATGTACACCTCTGAGAAGTCAAAAAATTCCTGTATTAACCTTTT